GTAAAGACACAAATTTTGTCACCATGGTGTAATGTCAGAAATTTAAAGGAAATTTAAGACACCATTCTTACTTTATTAAAAAAGTTTTCCCTTACTGTCACTAAATAATATATATATACACATGTAAAACCCACTGTAAGGGAAAAAAATAGGCATTTTAGCTTTACTTGATCTACCCTTTAACATAAGCAAGATACATATCCACAGAAGTTTGTATTTTTAATTGTGCATACAGTGGTTTGCATTTGTAGGAGAGGTGAGCATGTATATACAAGTACTAACATTTAGGCTTAAAGCATTTGTCCCTGTGGGTTTGTGGATATAAATCCGAGATCTTGAATGTGTAAGAGAAGAAGTACAAAGGGGGTACATTTGTATAGAGGTGAATAAAGCCATAGTTCGAATAAGATCATAACTATGACCCATTCAAACATGGAAACGCATGCGCAGATCTACCATATTCCTGCCCAGGAATCCCCAGTACGCAACATCGCTTCAAACTACTGCTTCAGGTATGGTAACACAGGAGACAGAGGTATTTGTCCAATTTGTTTAATGATTTGCAAGCCACCTGTGGTACCGCTGAACTAGCCTTTGTATTTCTACTCGCATTTGCAGCTCTCTTCCCCAAAATGCACCCCTTCCAACATGCAGATTTTTCCCTGAATAGTTGTGAAGATGACAGCTTATTAAAATTGATGAGGCTCTTTATGAGCACACCAGTTTGTTTGGTTCAGATAACAAAGGGCATTTCGTTTCTTGAAATGTCATAAAATTATTTTTTTTCCAAGCTGGATTTCAGTACCATGACTACACTGAATTTTTATTTTTTTTAAAGTTATTTCAGACCATTTTGATAACTATAAAAAGGAATTTTTATAATGGCATATCTCTAAAAATCCTCAATGTTAAAATCAGCTATAATTTTTAACCAGCACTCGTACAGTGAGAAATATAAACGAAAATTGGGTTAGTCAGTGATACTAAATCCGAAGTCCATGCTTGATGCTTGGTTGGGTGTGCCACAGTGTTTGGTATCAGAGAGAAGAAAATTCTTCCCTGGTCTAATTTTATTGAATCCAAATCACTCCCTCCCACCAGCAGGAAAGGTTACACATTTCCCCCCATCAGCCCCTTTCTAAGAAAAATATATCGAGACACAATTAGAGCTTCTTTTGGGCTCTGTTTCTACTACTTATCAGCTGAGCAAATTACCAGGCTAATTTCTGGGTTAGTTCGTCCACAGAGAACTTGAAGTGTTTTGGCTAAGAGATACGTGAAGAAACAGTGCTACCAAGTTAAATTCCCCTCTCCCCCCCCCCCCCCCCCTTTTTTTTTTTTTTTTTTGGAAAAAACATCTGTCAACCCTTATATCTACAGAACACCAGGATGTGCTGATGCATTAAATAGCACAGCAGGTGTATTGCCTGTCATGGGAGTGTTCTGCAATAACCAGATAGTTAAGTACAATGTAAGTGCTGTAGTTAATAGGGCAATAACATCAAAACGTATTTGGAGTTCTGACAGTTCAGATTCTAATGAACCATGCACCAGTCAAACACAGGAACATGAAGTAAAAGAATCATATTTCCAAGGTAAGTTCATATTTCTCCTCGTCTCCCAACGAACACTTTGAATGAACAGACTAATATTCCAAATCGGCATGTCTCAAAATCCTTGTGAAACTACCAGATGCATTCTCTACTTTAGCTAGATCAAACCAGTGCTTATCATATATCTCCATCTAATAAAAATAGAAAATAAAACCCATATTCTAATTTACACAACAATTTTTTTTCCACCTTCCAGTAGCTATGTTGTTCAGTAGCTGCTTATTGGTTTTGCTGCTTTTGTTTTATTTTGTTTCCAGCTTGCATTGCATTATTTTTGCAACATCTCACATAGACTCTGTCAAAAAAGACTTCACCTTCGGAGGCATTAACACACCCAGAGAGCTTTACAGAACTCCTTATGACCACAAGCTCAGATGACATTCCTCCTTCCAAGGCAGAGAAACTGAGTCCCGAGAATGAAGTCACAGCTCTCACTAACAGCGGAAAACGTCTCACAGAAGCAAACAGTGGCTTAAAGAACAGCTTCACAGAAAGGGTGAATAAATAAATAAGCCCCAGATTATTATTTATTTTAAAATAATATTCAAATTCCCCTTAAGCATTTACAGAGTTTTAAACTTTACCCTTCACACACCAGGTGTTGACTAAAACATGTTTGTTACAACACAGAATATTAAGGTTTTGGCTTCCAAAGCCTTAAGAACAGTGGACTACTGTCTTTGATGGGAGATTATTCACTGAAGAAATAGAGGTCTAAACCTCAGTCTCTTGAGAATTTACGAAGATTTATGTATTTACTTACTGTTTTTTAGACTCCAAAGAAGCATGCTATCCTGATCTAATAACGAAAATGGTATTCAATAGATCATAATGCCAGAAAGGTCCATTATGATAATCCAGTGCAATCTTCTGCATAGTACGCTGCCATGGTTTTCATCCAGTGATTGCAATGCTTGACTGGAGTTAGAACTTAACCTCTAAGTGCTTTTTATCTCTAACATCAAACTCAGTGCTATAAAACTAAACCCAGCAAACATACGCCAAGTTCACAGTTTACAAGTACTCCATTAAAATGCTCTTACTATAAAAGAAACAAAAATGACAGTAAAGCAAGTTTTCCTGTTCCTTATACTGGAATAAATCCAGTTATTTTACCACTAGATCTACCTCAGATTTAAATTAATGTAAAAGACAAGATCATTTGAAAGCACTGTAGAGAATAATGTGAATGCTACTGATTTACAATTCCTACAGGGAGAAGAATAAAGAAGTTATTTCAAGCTTTTTTGCATCCATATAAAACCATTTGTGGTCTTACAACTGCAAGAAAAGCCATTTAGAAGATTCACTGACTTGTGTCAGGTAAAATACTAGTGACTGACTGTCACGGGAAATCGTAGGATACGTTCACATGCTGTTTTATTCAATTTTCAGACTTAAAAAATGCATTCAATTATTGACAGAATTGATCTGAAAGACAGGAACAACAAAAGAGGCAACAGAAGCCAATCCTTCTGTGGCCAGTGACTGCTCGGTATTCCACTATGCAAGCGTTATCGTAACTGACCATTTGGTGGTTTGAATATTTATAAGCATTTCCCTGCACAGTCACTCATGTTTTCATTGCACATCAGCTTCCACTCATTCATTGCAAATTTTCCAAGAAGGAGATTTCTCTTAAGAAGAGGGGGGGCGGGAAATAGCACTCCGCAAGTGACTGACTCTTCCTCTCCATTTTACACACAGAACCTGTGTGGCAGAAGCACTGAGCAGAGAGCAGCTGAAGTGCATGTTTTACTTTACAGAACCACAATATTTTACTCCAGCTTCCCTAAATAAAGAACAAGAGAGGGAACGGAGACCTCTTGCTGGACCTGGTGAGAAATATTCCCACGGTACACAAAGAATTACAACAAGTATTTTGGTAGTGGTCAAGACATCCTCATACCTTTGTAGCGTGACATCTAAGAGCTTGTAGTTAAAAAAGTAGATGTCTACATTTGACTTTTAAAGTTACAGTTATGTCTTGTACCAGTGCCAAAAGCACATCCCAAAGGGCTCCTCACATTTATTTCACAAACATTTAGTAACCCTGTCAGTGGACAGAGGGCAGATAGAGGGCACAAGAGAGGTTTTGTGAGCACAGTAATAGCAGCCACCCTCTTACGTTGTAATTTGACATGCTGACCCAATGGGGAGTCACTGCACCTATCTACTAGTGATCCGAATCACGACATTATTGCTTTCGTATAGGATAACTGCAGGAAATCAATACACCCAAGGAGCAAAAGTCGAGTCAGCCCTTCTCTGACAAAGAGTTTCATTACTACCATTCACCTAAGGTATATTTTTTAATAACCTCAAAGAAAATCCACTCCTCTACTTGGCTCTTGTTATGAGATTATCTTTTGAAGAGGACCAAGCCACTGGGTTTTATAAAGAGTTAAGTCAGAAAGGTATTATGCGTGGAATATCTGCCCATAACGATGAGGCCAGCAAAAGTCACGAAGCTGTGTGTGGTACACAGAACAGTTTTCTAAATTGAATGTTTCTCTAACTTTTCCATGGAAAAAATATGGTACTCCTCAGTGTGACAATGCAAAATAAACAGCGCAGCTTCTTAACAGAACTGTCATGACTTAAGCCTTTCAAATTGCTCTTCAGTCTCATAGGAAGACGCCAACATTCCTCTAGCTGCTTATTTGCTTAACCGTTCAAAAAGTCTGTTTTCTAAACAAATTACAGAGGTAAGTACCTTAATGCTATGTTATTCTCATTACTGAGGCATCATCCTACATGCTCACTTTGGCAAGCCAAGCACAAGCTCTTGTTTATTTCACGAGTGTAATTACAACACAGATTTCTGCTAAACTAGAAGGAAGTCTAACATGTAGTTATAAGTTTTTGCTCAGAAACTGAATTTTACTACTGCAAAGGAAAAAAAAATTAAAATTAATGTTGTTTTCCCTCTCCAGGCTGTATGTGGGAATAGCATCTTTAAGATGAAACTGCAAGATACTCACTATAATAAAAGTATTGTTTAAAAACAATAGTGGTATTTTCTGAAGAGCAGCTTGTAAAGCACATTTCATCTTATGGTTACAGAAAAGCATGTTTACATGCCAGATATAGCAAAAATGCTCAAAACAGCAGCTGGTAGAAAGTCAGGAGACGTTTGTTAGGACAACGGGGCTTGGTTTCCCACAGCCTCTGCACCTTTTATAAACTGGTACATCTTAAGAATGCAGCAGGATCATTCTTGCCTGGTAAAACCGTCATGTCTGCTTTACGCACACACAAACCATGACCAAGATGCAATTCAGATCAAGAGAAAAACCCAAAAAAAACCCCAAGTCATAAAAATCAGCAATTTTCTTGTACAGCTTGCTGGTATGAAGATTAGCAATCATAAAAGCTGGATCTTACCATTAGCATTTTTCCCACAGATGAGATGCTCATAAGGTTGCAGCACTCCCCAAAGTTCAGCATCATTGTTGATAACCATCTCCAGGATTTCAGCTGAGATCTCCCCTCCTCCACCATCCGGGCTCTGACTAGCCAAAACCCTAGCCTTAATCTCCTCTACAAGGTTTTCCATGCAAGCGGTTAAAGAGATGGCTGCATACTCATGGATCCTCACCGAGATCCTAGTGTCCACCATCCACCTGAAAAACCTCCCCACTGAAAAGGTGAGGCCGCATCTAGCTGATTTACCTTTCCTCAGTCCATCACCAGCACTCATGCTGTACAGAGAGAGAGCCTTGACAGTCGCCAAGACACAGCTTTCTGACAACGACCAGCTCTGGATGAGCTTGATAGCGCTCTGCACCTCAAACCTGGTGCACTTGGAGTGCATCACGCTGAGACGCTGAGCTTCCCTGGAGACCCTGATCAAGGCGCGCCTCAGCAACTGCGAGAGTCGCCTGACAGCTTCCTGAGAAAAGGTTCTGGTATTGCCATCTCCCTTCCCTTTTCTGAGTATTTTTCCAATGTCTTCATCAGTCCAAGGGTATTCCTCTAGATCCGGCAGCTTAGGACACTTGGAAAAGATATCTGCAACCTCGGGGTCTTCCGGCAAAACAGTGTTCACGGTATCCCAGCTGTTGTTCCTACTGTTCATGGAGCCCGAGTAGTACCACCAGTTGCCTCTGTGCTGAGAAGAGGTGAAGGCTTGGGAGTTGGACTTGGAAGAAGAGAGACTAAGGGACCTGCAGGAATCCCCTGCCCCATAACCAGAGTCCAAAGTTAAATCCTCCAGGGTCTTCAGAGTAGAGCTGTATATCCCAGCCATAGGAAAGACGGGTTAAGCCAACCGCAAAGAGCACGAAAGGTAAGGCTGGGACAGACCCCTCCTGCGCCTACCGCGCCAGACCCGCCCGCCCCACC